TTATTCTGGTTGACGATTAGTTTAGAATCACCATAAGCTTTAATATACTTCATGCCCATTTATGAGGGCCTTGTACTCAGCCACATTATTAATCATGACTTGGTTAATGAATATGCTCGGGGAAGGTCATGATCATGTGGAGTGACAAGCTGTAAAATCCCATAAAATTTGAATATTTTGTGATAAATGATAATAAGTATATTATATTGTGATAAATAACATATTCTAATGTTTGAGTATGCTAGGGATTGATTTGAGATCAATCAAATGTATATATATGATTGTAGATGGAGATCATGCACGAAAACATGCACAAAGCATGTTTCTGGGAGGTTAGTAGTCGACTACAACTCAGAGTAGTCAACTAACCAGCTTAGTAGTTGACTACTCTGAGTAATAGTCGACTATCGGGGCTGATTTTAGTTTTTCTTTTCTGGTTTTGGGTTGGATTTGATTTATATCCGAACCCCAGCTGTTATGCATATATAAACACACGTTTAAACCCTAATTTTAACCATAATAATCGTAAGTTTGGCGACCAACTCCCTCCTCAAACCCTAAATCTTTCTTTGTGAGTTCTTAAGTGATTTTCGAGGTGTTTGTGTGAGGAAGGCAGAATTTTGGCTTCAGGGATTGAAGGGAGATCTTGCACACACGTGATAGAGGGCTCCAGCAGCATCTAAGGCAAGATCATCTTCCCCCGTTCCTGCACCCATAGTAATTACAAGATTTAAAGTGATTAAATCGACGTTTTCATGCCTTTTATGGTTTACATGTGATAAAAAGTAGACTTCTGATATTTGATATGTGATCCATGTTAGATCTAATGTTTTTCTTACTGTTTATGATTAAAAACATGTTTATGACAGCTAGGGTAATTATTAATTTCTTTTAATCTGTTAATTTAAGTTTATATCATGTGCAAAATCCTAATTTGTGTATAATTGGAGTTTTCTTGTAGATTTATCATATATGCTTAAAACTTAATCTTTTAGATCATAGTGACATGAACGTGTTTATATCAGTTTTCTTATTAAAGTTTTGATTATAATCATGTTCAAGATTAATCATTTGTTTAATTTTATGTCTTATGAGAATTCATGAATAACTAATATGTTAATTTTAATTAGCGAATGTTTGAAGAGTCGAATTATGTAGTTTTATTTATGAAAGTTATATTCAATGGACTAAAACCCTTTTTCCTAAGTTATATGTATTTTAAGAGAGTTTGTTTTTGAGAATGCACTAGTACAAAACGGGTCTGTCCAAACGGTTATTGGAACCATTTGGACAAGTCAAAATAGCCCAAACGGTTAACACCGTTTGGGCTAATATATCCCAAACGGTTAAAACCGTTTGGGCGATTGAAAAGTCCCAAACAGAGCTCCCAAACGGGTTAAACAGTTTGGGATATTTTAGTCCAAACGGATTCAACCGTTTGGGAGCTATGTTAGGGTTTTTAAAAAATAATTTTGCAAAACCCGCTTGTTCTCCCAAAATTTTCACGAGTGGCGCCAAAAATTTTCACCCAGCGGCTAGCGGCACCAAATTTTCATCCCCAAATTAATATCTCACCACACCCTCTCAAATCCGCCTCTACCTCCCTCATCTACCGCTAGATCTCGATCCTCCGCCGCCTCCATCTATTCCACGGCGTTTGTCTTCCCAAAATTTTCACGAGTGGTGAAACCCTAGCTCTTAGGGTTTCTGAGAAACCCAATCACCGAAACGATCCAATCGAGTTAGGGTTTCGAAGATGGGATCAAGGGATCAGCAGGTGAAGAGCAGCGGAGGATTCTTCTTCGCGATCAAGAGCTGGGGCTTTGCGATGCAGAAATCGGTCAGCGGGTGAGTTCGATTTTGAGTTCTAGGGTTTCGAATTCCGACTATTGATTGAAATAATTAGTACAACGTGAACAAACATAAACATGCTTTCATGAAATCTATACAAGCTTATGGATTATTGCTCGCTACTTTCTCTTATCATCATTGTTATAACTATGTTGCTTGTCTGGATTCATTGTACTCCTCATAATGTAGTTCTTGAATTGTGAAGTCTGTCTTGCATAGTGGGTTCGTTGATTATTGCCTAATAATTAATTAAGCCAGTCATCTTGTCTTTTTTATTTATACTCCTTGATGTTTGTTGTTCTCATGTTCTTTATATTAGCTATGATAAGAAGACAACACTACCATCGATACCTTTCTGAATTGATTTGTATTTCGTTTCCTCATAGTTAGATACCTTTCTGAATTGATTTGTATTTCTTTTCCTCATAGTTAATTGGAAATTGGATGAAATTATCCTTCCTTTTTTAAAAACATACTTTGTGGTTGTGCTTATCTTCATCAAATTGAATGGTATTTTCAGGTCAGGCGCAACTTAGGCCAGACAAAAGTAATGTTGGATGCTTTGATTAAGGTTCTTGAGATTACATTTACTTAACCTTGAGATTTATTTATTGCAAACACAATTAAATATTCAATAATCTCAGTATATATATAATGAAAATTTTAATTTCAGAGGGAAGAAAAAAAGCTGGAGGTCATACATAACGAGGTCAACCTTCAACAGATTCAAATTAAGTATAAGGTACTCCCTTTTCTTTATTTTCCCCTCTTTTTTTAGTTGACACTGTTGATGTATATCCAAAATAAGATATCTTTCGGAAAGAGCTTCATCATTCTCACTGTACTATCTTATTGCAGTCCTGAACTAGTAAAATTATTTAATGCATTTTTTAAATAACGTCTAAATTTACCTTCTAAATGAATTGTGTGGCCTGTCTGGCTAGGAGTGGTTCTTTAATTGGTGACTTGGCATAGGGAAGTGTGAAACTTTAAAATGGTGTCTTTAAAGATCAAAGGAACTTGTTTTTGAGGGCACAACTTAATGGTCAAATCATTATTCAGTGAGGATTGTTTAGTACCTTTCCTGAGTTCAACCCTGAATCTCCTCTTGCCTTTTACTAGTCTCCCTTCAAAGCATCAAGCTCCTCTCAGCTGTTTAGCTTATCCATTTTGAAGATATTATATCATCTCCTTTATAGGACGTAAATGTGGTATTATAAGGTCATTTAGTTTTCCAAATTCCAAATCACGTTGTCTGCTCATTCTTTACTTCATATCCATGATCTTCATACTCCCATCATTTCCACTAATGTACCAAAATGATTGCAAATAACCTATAAATAAATGTTCTCCTTAAATATTCCCTCAATCAAATGATCAAAATGATTACAAATAACCTATAAATAAATATTCTCCTTAAATATTCCCTCAATCAAATGATTTACTTACGTAAACACTTCAGCATCTTTTCTCAAAAGCTTGAGGACTTGACCTTTGTCAAGCCTTTTGAGGACTGCCTATAAATATATCTTTTCTCAAATGATTTAACATGGTCATTGTCTCGCCTATTGAGGACTAGCTCAATTGGCAAATTGTTTGGGGTGGATTGTGAGAATCTGAGATTCAGGCCTAGGCTATGGCATGTATTCAGAAAAGGACTATTTAGTACATTCCTATTCCTTTAGGAAGCTTGGGAAATTTTTTTACTTTCACCTCCTAATGGTTGGTATTGAGAAGGCAGGTGGGGCTGGTTTGGTTATAATGGAAGGGTTAATAATTTACTATTGTCTAACAAAAGGTATACTGGTTGTTTTCTATCTTTAAATTCTTTTTTTTTTAATCTAAGTTATTTTATTTCAATAGTTCATCTATGAGCAATTACACCTTGTTCTGCCTTTCCCCCCTTGTTATCAAAGTACATCATGCATTTGCAATTTCCTGACATCTCTTATCTATTGCTTTACTTCTTTTGATTCAAATTAACCACATCTTCCATCTGGATCTCCTTTTCTACAAGCTTTTCTTAGAACTTTAGAAGGTTCTAAACCTTCTAGGCTAGCTGCATACAACTTCCAGAGGGAAACGGCTAAGATATATATCAACCTACTGCATGCATGCTCTTTTATCCAACATGTAATTGATTCTACTCCATAGAGCTTTGGTCATGCTTCACCATAGGAGAATGTATATAGGTCAAATGAATTTTTTGCTCTACGCTTCATATTATTTTTGCTATAGTTGTTTTTGTTTGCAGCAACCTTTTGTATCCATCGGAATCATCTAGGTTGTGCATTTGGCCATTTTGACAACTACAGAGCTAATTCCTCTAACGCCTATACATAATCTTGATTTCAGCATTAAATCAATGTATTTTGGTGTTGAGTTTTCTAGAGTTTCTGGTGGTGCTTTATACTTTAGCCATGCATCAGTGTTTATGTTACTAATGCTGTCATCGTTTTTCCCTTATGAATAGTGCATTAGGAATGTTTCGTTTACTAAGCTTTGTTAGTTGTACACAGTTCCCCTATAGTATTGTTGTTTTGCACTTGTTGCCCCTGTAGTTTTATTGTTGCAGCAAGTAAAAGAATCTAGTATTTAACCCAGGGGTCTATCTGCAACAATGAAACTACAGGATAGTAAGTGCAAAACAACAATACTACAGGGTAGTCTATATGCAATTAACCCAATGAACTATTATACATCTCATCCTACCAGGACACACATCTTATCCCATCAGGACGCACTGTTGTAACCAAAACTAGACACGCTTTTTCTGCTCATGTAAAAAATTACTTGTTTGAGGTACTTAAGTTGACAAATTTGATATGATTTTTTAATCTAATTATGTTAACTGGTGAAGGACCCTCTTGAGCCAGTTCTCTTGTTCACAAGGCCCCTCGAACCACAGAAATTAGCTGCTGGGGCTCTGCGATGCAGAAATCGGTCAGCGGGTGAGTTCGATTTTGAGTTCGACTATGTGACAGAAGTAAAACTCTCTTGGTAATCCAGCAAAGTTCCTCAGGAATCTCACTGAAGAAGAGATTGCATTCATTTCCCAATCAGCAGTAAACTATGTCAATCTTGCCGAGGTCCATGCTGCAGAAAATGCGAAGTCATTTGACGAGATCGAGTTTGAGATGGCGCTTCGCAAGAAGTTTGCTCGCATAGACGAGGAGTACGATTCAATGCTCGGAGTAGTTAGTGAAGTCCCACCAGAGCTCACACTTCCTAATAACATTGAATGTGTATGTATATATTTTGGGTGTATGAGTCATTTTTGATATTAGAGACATATATATAATATTGGATGCTTTTCATTGTGTATGTATATATAATATTGGATATTTAGCATTGTTTGAGACATTTTTGTGTATGTATATATTTTCGATTTCAATGTGATATATTGAGAAATTATTGTGTGAGATGTGCATATTAAATGTAAGTAGGTAGATATTTAAAATAGCTAAAATTAAAAAATGATAAAAATAAATAGTCCAAACGGGTGAAACCGTTTGGACAGAGTTTTGTCCAAACGGTTGAAACCATTTGGACCAAACTTTGTTCAAACGGTTTCACCTGTTTGGGCATTTTTGACAACCCAAACGGTTGTAACCGTTTGGAAAAAATCCCAAACGGTTACAACCGTTTGGGATTTTGCCCAAACGGTTACAACCGTTTGGGCAACCGTTGGGGAAAACTCTTCCCCAACGGCTTCAGTCCAAACGGGTTTTTTACTCGGCCAAACGGTTGTAACCGTTTGGGACCGCATTTGCCCAAACGGTTACAACCGTTTGGACAGATCAGTTTTGTACTAGTGATGAATAACATACACGTTAAAAAACTGAGCTTTTATTTTCTGTCAGCTCAGAGTAGTCGACTAACAGAGAGAGTAGTCGACTACTCCTTACCTGATGCGTTTCATAGAATTTTGTTTCGATACAGTGTAGTCGACTAATTGTGTTAGTAGTCGACTACTCCTTACCTGATGCGTTTCATAGAATTTTGTTTCGATACTATGGCAAGTAGTCGACTACTAAAGGCTGTTTCATGAACTTTGTTGATATTTGTTTGAGGTGTGTTTTCGAAGTTATAACATGAGAGAGAGAGAATCACATAAATATATATTACATATTTATAAATACGTATTATATAGTTATATATGTATTTATTACATACTTACATTATGCTTATTTAAGTACAATTATACAGTTTACTTATATGATATATTTTTATATATACTAGATGCAATATACTTATATATAATTATACTTATACACTTATATATACTTATATAACTATAATTCTATAATATAAACATATAAATATACTTATAACTATATTATATATATTTATATTGTTATATCTTAGCATCTATATATATAATTATACTTATGCACTTATACAATATACTTAAATAACTGTAATTCTAAATATATATATTGTAGCTAGGATTTGAACCACTAACCTCCTTTCCAAACTCCTAAATTTTACCACTAGACTAAGTAGCCCAAAGTATTCATGCTAAAGTTTTAACGCATACAAAATCGAGGCAGAGTTTCTTTTTCTAAATCTCTGTCACGAGATAAAACGAAGTGATGGGGGTTAGTTGGAAAGTTTTAGCTAATCATAAATTCTGTTACATTTCCTTATTTATACTTCCTAAATTAATCTTTTTATCTAATAAAAGTCCTAGTAACATTATTACTTTGGGTGTGGAAGAACTTTCAACCACCTTATCCTTAATTAGGGGAATGTGAGGAAATTTTTCAGGAAATAATTTACTCAAAAGGCCACGGTCTTCAATCGGTGCGTAGAAGCTGTTGGCTTTTTAGAATTTCAATCGGAGAATTCTGCACTACACCATCTCATCTAGAGGTGTCCAAATGGGCATTGAGCCCGGACCCTAAGCCTATCCAACTGGGTTGGGACAGGGCCAGGCCGGACAAAACCAGGACCCGGACTCGGATCCGGTTGGCCCGGGCCTGAGCGGGCTATGCACCAGGCCAACCCGGTTTTTATTTTGATTTTTTTAATTTTTTTACTTTCAAGAATACATAGCAAAAAATTAAATAAAATTTTGATAAAAGCAATCATATTATTAATCACTTGTAATTATATAGTTTACAAACACAAAAAATCTTAGAAATTAAAATGATAAAAATAACTTTTTTTATTAATAATCAGTTAATCATCTACAATTATAAATTTAATTTGGAATTTGTCGCATCACAATAGATGAATACATCCCAACTACGTTGGCACCTATTCATCTATATTACTATCATTTGCAACTCTTTTCAAAATAATTTATCACAAATTTTCAGCTAAGAAATAAAAATTATAAACTAATGACTAATTTCTACTCTTTATCTTTATGTGCTATTCCCAACTAATGAATAAAAATTACATTATGCTTATTTAAGTACAATTATACAATTTACTTATATGATATACTTTTATATATACTAGATGCAATATAGTTATATATTTTTATACTTATGCTAATTATACTATATACTTATATAATTGTAATTCTATAATATACACATATAAGTATACTTATAACTACATTATTTATATATTTATATTCTTATATCTTAGTATTTATACGACTATACCATGCTAAGAGTATATATATAGTTATGTATTATATATACATATGTTATGTATAAATATATTGTATATACTTATAAGTCATAACATGAGAGAGAGAAAGAATCACATAAATATATATTACATATTTATAAATACGTATTATATAGTTATATATGTATTTATTACATACTTACATTATGCTTATTTAAGTACAATTATACAGTTTACTTATATGATATATTTTTATATATACTAGATGCAATATACTTATATATAATTATACTTATACACTTATATATACTTATATAACTATAATTCTATAATATAAACATATAAATATACTTATAACTATATTATATATATTTATATTGTTATATCTTAGCATCTATACCATGTTAAGAGAGAGAGAGAGAGAGAGAGTCAGAGAGAGAGAGAGAGAATCACATAAATATATATTATATATGTATTTATTACATACTTACATTATACTAGTTTAAGTACAGTTATACAATTTACTTATATGATATACTTTTATATATACTAAATGCAATATACTTATACTTATGCACTTATATACACTAATATACACTTATATAACTATAATTTTATAATATACACATATAAATATACTTATATATAACACACACACATATATATACACACACACATTAATAACCATATCATAATATATTTATATGTAAAAATATATAAATATATTTATATATATATATAATATAAAAAAATTTAATCGGGACGGGCCCGGGCATCATGAAGGCAACCCGGGCCCGGAACTCAATTTGGCCCGAGTTTCTGGGCCAAAGCCGGGCACGGGCCTCAGGCCCAATTGGAAAGGTCTAGTCAAGTGGAACAACTATTGCTTATCCCAATACCTTAATTACAACTGAGTTCTTGTTAGGTCTCATGTTTACTAACCTATTATCTAATCTGGTTTTGATGGTTAACAAACAATTTCTAATCTTATTTTCTAGTATTTGTGTTTTTCTCCAACATGCATCCAGGTTGGATGTTGGATGAAATTAAGCTAAACAACGATATTCACGAAGGTTGGAGGAAATTGGAATGAAGCCGTCGTAATCCAAGTCAAAGATTCAATATCGTACTTCATCCCTACTACCAAGCTGAGGATCGTCCATGATCGAGCTTCATGCAAATCAAGCTTGGATATAGTGTTTTAGGTTTTTTTACTTTATGTGTTTATACTTAGAGCTTAAATCCTACACATACACATTTGTTTCATATCTATCGCTTATACATCTATTTGTTAGATAACGTGATTTTCGGATTATAGACTTAATTATATTATTTTACATCTTTTCAAAAGTCTATTAATCCATTCTAAAGCATCCCAAAACTTGTTTGGAATTATTTCATCAAAATCAAGTTTTTAACGATCTTGTATTTTTAGTCGTTTTGCAAAATAATGAGTTTTCACAAATGAGAAATGCTATTTCAGAAATTCCTTTTCTAACTCATTCATTTTCATGTGTATAAACATTTTTCCAAGTTTTACTATTTTTGAAGTGTTTTACTATTTTAAATTGAATTTAGAAAATCAGCTTTTCATATTCAGGAATCTGTGTATCAGTTTTCAGTCGACTGAATAAAATGATCAGTCGACCGGCCAGAAGCATTTTTACAACAATAACTTTGTCAGTCTTTTCAATCGACCGAACAGTGGATCAGTCGACCGATTGGTTAAACCAGTCGACTTGCCAAAAGTAGTTTTTACAGTATTCTATTTTTCAGTCGACCAACCATATTTTTCAGTCGACTGATCAACGGTTGTTTTACTGTAACGGCTAATTTTTGATAGATTTGTTTGAGAAGTTATAAATAACTCTCAAGACTTATTTTTTCATTAAGTTTTTTATAAGAAGTTTTTGGACACTTTTGCGGCACGTTTTTGAAGTTTAAGTGTGTTTGTTTATGTGATAAGACAAAGAGGAGGATCTCAATTTCGTTCTTGAGGCGTTCATCCTCATATCTCTTACTCTCTTTGTTTTGGAGAAGTTTTCTAAACTCTTTCTCTAGCTAATTAATATTTTTATTCTCATATATTTATGCTAGATTGATTTGAGTTTTATTTTATTTTACTCAATGATTACACGCACCCACTTGAGCTTTAGTATTTCACATTTAGTATATTTGGGTTGTGAGAGTGTTTTCATTAAGAGAGCTTTACAATTCGTTCTCACTTGTTTAGAGAACAAAATCTTCATTCGCACTTATTTGTTAAACACGTTGTAATACACAAGAACACTTAGAGGAGTGGTTGGAAGAGACCGGGGTCAATTCCAAGAGGAGTGGGTTGTTTGTAAAGCCTAGAGAGATGTTATAATTCTAAACACTTGTGGAAGGTGATACGGGTAGTCCAACACTTAGAATAGTGTGGCTTGTGTAATTGATATCGTGTATTGTAAAAGTTATTGGTGATCTTTGAAAACCATTGTGTAGGATTTTTGAATGATAGTGGAGAACTCCTTAAGGTGAGGAGCAGAGACGTAGGTCAAGGGTTGGCTAAACTCAGTGATCATATCATGTGTTTGCAATTGTATCTTTGGCGCACTTTTCTCTTTATATCTTGTACTTGTTGTTTATATCGTTTATTGTCTCTTGCTTATCCTTGCATATCTTATTGTATATCATACTGATAGGATATTGCATT